GGCGTCGGAGGCCCGCGCGCCCGCGGTGGGAGCGAGCGGAACCCCGCTGCGCCCCGGCTCCGGGCGCGGGTGCTGGGGAGAGGTGGCCTGCGGCGGGGAGCTGAGGACGCGGTGCGGGTGAGACGGAATTGGAAATTCTCCAGTGAGCCTGCTATGCTCTAATTTCAGGAAGATTGGTCGCGTTTGTTTTCCCTGCCAGGGAGGCGTGCGTAATCTCCTAAAAGGAACTTTACATTAGGTAACTGTGACCTTTGAAATTGGCGAGAAATCGACGTATATCCCGTTGTACGTGTATATATATATTGTGTGCGTGTATACAAAATGTGGGAGTGGCCTAAGAAAGGCTTAAAAAGTTTGACTTCAACTGGAAAAGAAAGTGAAGAGTTAATTTTTTTTCCCCCCTCCCCGAAGGGTATAACAATGCTTATACAAAACACTCCTGGCGTGCTGAGATTTCTCATAAAGGGTAAGATTTAGGAATTGCAGGTATTTAGAGTACAACCAGTGTTTTCAAATCTTGCAAGCGTTATTGAAATCTAGAAAAGGGGAGTAAGTGTATAGAGAAGCTATATTAAAGAAAATTATTTCAAATTATTTGGAAAGAAAATCATTTGACGTTTGGAAAGGTCTGGATGTTATTTTCTGATGCTTTAGAAATTGTTTTAATCCTGTAATTAATAACAGTGCAGAATAAGTTGCAGTTAGTAAGTGAGGACAATTAAAATACCACGTTTGGAAAGGATATCTTTTGAACTCTCTTTGGTACTTTGGATGTTTATTATGGAAATTATTGTGACTGAAAACCTGCTGTTTGATATATTTGCTATTTACCACAGATAATTAGTCCTTTCTGTCTAAACCTCTGTTCCAGTTTAGACCAATTTAATTACCCAAACACCAAATCACTGGAAATCGTGCCTTCTGGAAAGCATTTGCATTCAAAATGCTTAATAGGGATATTGTGTTTCCAAAAGGACAAATAATTTAGTTGTAAAACTTTCTTGTAATTTCATCCATTTTGTTTGAACGAGACAACCCTCAGGGAGAGAAGCAGTTTCTTGGAGTATGTTATGTCCTTTTCTGTGTGGCAGAAAGCGAATGTTTTTGTGTGTGCTTCAGTCACAAACAGGTGCACGTAGTGTGGAAATCCCGAGTCTGGCCTTTGGTGTGAGGCTGCCAGCTGGAGGGAGAGATGCTTTCCCAGCTCTCCTCCTGAACTGATCACCTTCACTGCAGAATGAGCACCATTAGATGCGTATAAGACTGTGCCCAGGGAAGGGACGAGTTTTAAGTGAAGTGCCAGTTAATGGTTGGGAGGGAAGGTTTATTTGGTTTGGGTCTCTTTCTCTCTTTCTTTCTCTCTCTGTCTCTCTGTCTCTCTGTCTCTCTCTTTCTCTCTCTCTCTCTCTCCTTTCTTTAGTCTTCCTGTTTCCTTCCCTCTGCAATTAAGCCTACTGGGCCCGCCTCTAACCAATTGATCCTATTGGCTAGAGAGCGTTTGTCATATTAAATTACCATCTGCTGTAAAAATAACGATGGCCCTCCTGAAATTAAAAAGGTAATTTTATACATTGTCACAGACTTTTATGATTGTTTTGTTAGCATTATTCTGCCTATTATGCCCAGTATTATCGTAGACAATATCGCTTTATGAAGTTATTACCACTATATATCTGTAATTACTTAATAAGTTACTTAATATATGTACATATATATATATTTGGGGTATATTTGGAACATACTTGGGTTTAAGGAGTTTTTGTTTTTTTTTTTAATTGATTTTAGGGAGAAGAGAGAGAGAGTGAGAAACATCAATGTGAGAGAGAAGCATCGATTGGTTGCCTCCCAATGTCATCCTGATTGGGGATTGAACTAGAAACCTGGGTATGTGCTCTGACTGGGAATTGAACCTACGACCCTTTGGTGCATGGGATGACATTCCAACCATCTGAGGCACACTGGCCGGGGCTGGGTTTAAGGACTTTTAAATCATAAAGCCAACTGACCGTATAACTTGTTTAATTAACTAGTTTAGGTGATACACATAATTCAGGTTTGTATTAATATATCTGCATCTAAGGATGTTTTATGGTTATAGTGCTGTCATTTCTTTTTATTAGAATTACCTGTATTTTGAATTTGTTTAAATATTGCAACGTATCATGCTATAATTTATACTCATTCTGTGGGGAAGGTGTAGGTTATTCTTAAATAGAGATATGGAGAAATAGCTAATAAGAAGAGTCATTTGAGAAACATATGGACATCATAAAATCCTTCTGTATATAGCATCTGTAGCTTCTCATTAGTGAAATATTGTAGTTATGGACATTTTTTATTATTACATCCAAATGGGGCTTTTAATTTTTGCTTCAATGGATTGGTTTGTTTTAAAATGTAATTTATATTAATGTTTAAGTTGTCAGGGGCTTTTATTGTTTGAAGCCCTTCCCTTTCAACAAGAATATCATACTTAATTTTTATTGCACACATCCTCTAATACATACACTTGTTTCCTAGCTTGTTATTGTAACTCTTACCTTTCATTTGAGAGACAGATAGGAAGACATATTGTTCTCATTTTCTGAAGGAGGCAGCAGGTACACTGATACATCCAAGGTCACACACTAGAGAATCAGTGTGACGCTGAGGATAACATCTATGTTTCCCATATCCTAGTCACAGCAGCAAGCTGCTCCGGTGGCTGTATTATGACATCTTCATAAATTTATACATTCCTAAGTCTTTAGAGTGCTTAACTTTGTAGATCTGCAGGTCAGCTTTTATACCAGTAAATATAGTCATAAGGGAATGAGCCTTTACTGTTGCCTGCTGATGGAGAGCTGTGACCCCTATAGCTAGTGCTAAAGCAAACATGCACACCTCTGCGGGGTACCCATTCTTGCACATCTCTCTGCCTGCACTGGCCCCACTGTATCAACTGCATACTGCCCTTTTATTGGCCAAAACTGATTTGAAGTTTATTAGCGCAGTTATCAAGCTTGAGGGTCATCAGGCTCACTGGTGAGAGAACTCAGAACATGACTTTTGAGAAGAGAGAGTATTGACCGGACAGTAATGGACCGCCCACTCTAGGACAAGCCAATATTGATTAGGGATCCTGTTGTTCTGGGTCAGGACACCTACCTTCTTTTATTAGCTCTGCTTCTTCGGCCAAACTTATAGAAATCAAAGTGAACAGAGGGTTCATGTGATTATCTAGTCATTTATGGCCATGTAGACCTGGTGTCTTGATAAATCAGAGTTTAAAAAAAGGAAAGAAAAGAAAAAGGAGAGCAATTTGTTCTTTTCTAGAGGAGATACTCTTAGGACTGCTTCTTCAACTTCCCAAATCCCTTCTCCTTCAGTTCTTTACAGAATCTTTCAGAGCAATTGCCCAAATGAATTGTAACAGCCAAGGTATATAGTCTTCTGAGATTGTATTGTTAGATTCAAAAGTGGAATATATTATCCAGGATGCAGAAGAAAGCATTGTAATTCCATAGAAATATATAATCTTATGCAAGCTCACATGTATTTTATGAAAATACTTTCAGCACTTTTGAATAAGCAGCTGATACCAGGAGCTCTCTATTTCTTTTACTGCTCTTTCCCCTAAATGTATGGTTCATAGGTGTGCATACAAATCATTTTAAATGTGAAATACTGAAAAAAGTGACTATTCCAATGTGGCTTGCTATTTACTATAATTAATTCTGTCTAGAGCCCCAAGGAGAGGAAGTCTCCCATTCTGTATA